CTGATACAGTATGTCTGTTTTGAATAGGAAAAATAAAGTGATTGTGATGGTACTGCAACATCACTAAAAAAAGTCAGTGGGAGTCAAAAGAATGAGTTTGGAAGATGACTTCTAGGTGGTGGCATCTGGCCACCTGAGCCTCAAGAACTATTGGCTATCTTGTCTGGACTGATACAGCATTGGTAGCTGCCAACAACACATCTATGATGCAGAAGTGATCCACTTATCACTTTGAAGTGGATTGCATTCTGCAGTTTGAAACTGCTCATCTCTATTCAATGACTGTTCAGTAGAATAGCCAAGATTAGCATCTTCTAGATTAGCAGCATTTTTTGAATTAGCTATATTTAAAGAGTTCAGTGTACTGTGGTTAACATATGCTAACATGAAAAGAAGTAGGTTAATATCAGTGTTTAATACTAAACTAAAAACACCCAAAAACCCAGCACAACTCTTCCTAATACAAAAATATGCCTTTGGCTGATACAGTTCTTCAGTTAGTCAAAGCTATTGCGGGACTATCACTATCATATATCAGAAATGAAAAGCACCAAAGCAAGTAACTAATCTACATAAACTACTTCAAAAAACACGTAGGCACTACTGAGATTTAATCTACTTAACAACAAATTAAGTGTCTAATATTGTAACTGCTCAAAAAAGCTAGTACTAACTTTTACAATTTTACAGTATGCTTTAACAGTCAAGAAAAATAGCTAGACCAGCCTTGTCATAAAGTGCAAAAGCTAGCTTACAGGACAAAAGAACATGGTCTAAGTTTTCTCAGTTTAATGAAACTACTACTTTCAGAAGAGAAGATCACAATATCAAGATAATCCCCCCCACCCCAATAAGGATAATAGAAATACTCTTTTGCAATGGAAGAATAAAACAAATTGCATAGTCAAGCTACCTAGATATTTTGCTGGATGTTAATTGTTAACAATTTAAGTTACTGAAATGTATATTGCTGTTCAGGTCCTACATGTAATGTATGCTTGTAATTGCAGTTTGATGTCCAGTGTTGGAAAAAAAAATTATAACCACTGCATTACAAACTGTCTCTACTACTGAGCAAGACTGAGAGATGGATCCCAGCATGTAACTCACCGAACAATGGAGACAAAATGTTTATTACAAAGTTGCCAGAATGTGCTTGCTTGAAAATCATTGCTCAACTTATTTTAAATAAGTAAATGGTTTAAATAAGTACACAGAAAATTTAAGTGTACTTAACCTGCTGCTGGAAGCGAAGCTTGTCTTCTTCCAGCTGTTTGATTTTTGACCTTTCTAGTTCAACCTGGTGTGCACACTCTTCTCTGGCTCGCCGCACAGAATCCTGTAGCTCCTGCAGATTTCGTTCATGCTCTGCTTGCAACTCCTTCTTCACTCTTTGAAGCTTAAAAGTGAGACATATTTATATCAATCCACAGGTGCAAGATCTTTATTTTAAGAGTCTCTTACAACTGTTACTATTATTCATGGCAGAAAAAACTGTTATCCATTTTAGAAATTAAACAATAGAAATTTCATTGTTATCTATATGTTTGCTATATGCTCTTTTATTGGCTTTCAGTTTAACTAATGACCTGCAAATTACTATATTTGGGCTACAAATATACTCTTGCTTGACTATTGTAAAAATGGAGCTATCTCTACTGTACTTTCTACATGGAATTGCTAAAGGCAAATTTCATATACACCTTTCCTCTACAAACTAAAAAGCTAAATATACCCCTTCACTACAGAAACAGTGAAGTCACAGCTAGAGCCAAGATGCCTTCAGATCAGTAAGATTGCACTCTTCAAACTGAGCATGTTGAGAGAATTTCTCATTAAGCTAAACAAGGAAACATTCCTTGACATGTTTGAACTTTCTAGAAAGATGTTACTGGCTCAGATAACTGCTAGCTGAATAGAAGCCTCTCCAAACGGCCCATTTCTCAAACTGTGTAATTGCTAAACGAACCCTACATCATTTTGTCTAGACGCTTTTGGAATCCGCTGATTTTTATTATCTCTAAACCCTCAGGTCAGGATCTCACTAAATTTAGAGCAAGTTTTAGAGCAAGCATGTATGAGATTCAAAATAAATACTTTTACTCAGACTGAAATGCATTCGAGCAAACCTTATCACCAGATTTTTTGCATAGATGTTAAAGGTAAAGTCAGACACTATTTACAGCATAAACTTCATCTTGAGGGGTATAGAAAGCCTGAGTACAGAACAGGACACACGCTCAATCGGCCAGTCCCTGTGTTGGGAACTTTCTTAACTTTGTCCACATGCACAGGAGGTATTGATATGATAAAAAGATTAATCTGAGCTACAGGAGGAAAGAGAGTTTGCTGGACTGCTATATCACCACAGCAGTTTACCTATATAATTGTGAGTTTGTTCTGAAGTACAAAAACAGGCTGTTTATTTTCTTTCTTTCTCTTTTCATACGACTAGCTTCCCTGAGGACTTGCACCCCACTTCCTCATCTTCAGGGTATTCAGTGAGACCTACAAACAGGGGTAGCTAGTGTTTCTCCTGCATTGTCTTTGGCCCTGTCACTATTAAAAAAAAAAAAAAAAAACAACGAAATAGGAACTCTATCAAATCGCTGGATAACAAAACCTGCACAATTGCAGTTTCTCCCAGCTCTCCTTGTCACCTTCTCCTATTTCAATGTTTAATCTAGCAATTAGTGTTTGAAGCAAGGCACTCTTATATGCATGTACAATGTCCACCTGACAGTACTAAACTTAAGATTGAGATATGCTAATGTTATATAAATGTCTCCACTGACACTCTAATTCTGTTAATAATAAATAAGAAAATTTACAGTTCTATAACTCTAGCAAACCATTTAAAAGTTCATTGAATTTCCCTTTCAGTAAAAAGTGTAGTTGTAACAAAACTTGGCTTAAATTATTAGCGCTCCTCTATGTATCAGTATGAATGCAGGTATTTCAGTTCTTATACACAGGTCACAATTGCCTCTATATGACAACTCAACAAACCTTACAGAAATAGCTCATGCAATTGCATTGTTTAAAATGACCAAACACTTTTTACCTCTGATTCAGCACTAAAAAGCTGTCGTTCTCGCTTATCTAGATCTCTCAGGGTTTTCTGAAGTTGTTCTTCCAAAACAGTATATTCTGCTATCTAAAAGAACACAAAAGGCCATTTTTTTCCTTGCAATAAAAATAACGTATTAGACAGGTAAAGAATTTACTCTTGCTATGATACAAAATATTGACAATTTTTGTTTGGAAATTTACATATAAAACAAATCTCCATCTCTTAATGACAAAATCACAATGGAGAGCCTTCCTTTCTAATACAATAAAGGCTAACAGGTTACCACGCACAGCTGGGCTGTAGAAGTGCTTTTTGACCATGCAAAGGTAATTACAGTTAAAAAGCCCCCCCAAAAAGCAAGCTAACCTGAAGGATTTTCAACAAGTATTCTATGATTAAGGGCTACTTTTTATTTTTTGCACTGTTGTAGACTACATGCTTGCATACCTGTAGCTGTGCAGACTAATCACAGACCCTTTGTTTTATGTTATAGTTATGAAATATCTTGTCAAATTTTAGTGATATGAGATTTATGAGACTTTCAGAAACTATAAGAATGAGTTTCCTTACCTTTTTCTTCACTAATGCTTCTCTCTCTCTATCTCTTTTCCTCCATTCTTCTGCAAGTGCTTGCATATGGGCCATTTCCTTCTTTTTAAGCTTTTAAAAGCCAAAAAAAGAAACAAAAACCCCAAACCAGAGAACCAAATCAAAGTTGTTGGAAGTGCAACTTTAAAGGAGAGAGTACTAGCAGAACAAAAACTTGAAGCAAAAGAATTAAAAACTAAGTTTAGTACACTGACTTACATAACTCAAGGTATGCTTCTGATAGTGAAAAATATTTCTTACCCCTAAGTACAAAATGCAAAGTAAGCCCAAGTTCGAGAAAAATATCCTAACAGATAGACACTAGATTCTCAGTGTCTCTTAAAAAGAAGCATGCGACTCTAAGAACACCTACAATGACTTCAAGAGTAGAAACACAGCAATGGATTTTGACTGAGAATAAAGAAATTTAACACCAATAATTTGAATCTTGAATATCCGCTGCACTTCATAAACAGTAAAGGGAAATTGTGAAGGGGGTATTCTGTACTTCACTACTTAGCACCTACTTCAGTCACTTAACAAAAAAGAATTAACCTTCTTCCTTAAGAGTATGGAAGGTATTTGCCTGAAGTTTTAATATTCTATATAAGCAAAATTTAGTTCTTATTTGAAACACTGGCAAAGAAAAATGCAGTTAATATTCCTCTTGCCAATTCTGCTAAAGCTTCTCTGGTAGCCATGCAGTTGAGGAATTAAACAGAAAGAGTAAAAACCTGATTTTCAAAAATGTCCTCTTGCATTTCCTTCCACATCTCTAGCTCCAGTGCTGCTTTGTATTCAAGAGTTTCTCGAGGTTCTGGATGGTTTTCTGGGGTACAACGAGGCTGAGTGTGAGGGACATGCCGCTGCTGACCAGCACCTACACACTGATATAACAACAGTGGATTTCTAACTGGAAATCCAACTTTTCGAAGAAGTGTTCAAGGAAAAAGGGTAAGATTTATGTAAAATTTACTTGAGAAGAATCTGACACCAGAACTTCTTGCATTTTCACAAGCCCGTAGTCTTCCAAAGTGATAGCATATGAAAGCTCTGCTATTCTGTTGCCTGACCTATAAATAGCATTAGAACATTATTTTAATGAAAACTGTCTTAAAAATACAGAAAGTGAATTGTAAGACAACACACAAAACAGCAAAGTTGAAGCGCTAAAAGGTTCCGTGTAAGCTCAGAGACTGTAAAGAGTTGCCTACATGAGAGCCCAAACATGCTCTCCCATGTATATTGTTTTAACTTAGGGACTGATTTATACATCTACAGTAAGCTTTCTGACTTTAACAGATAACTTGTCATTGGGAACCTATTTAACTAACAGCTTACTATAATAACACATCCCTATAACAAGAGAATGATCCAAAATTGTACCTGCTGTGAAGTCTTAAATCGTTCTAACAAATATACCTGTTGAATACAGGTATTGTTGCTGACTTTGTTCTAAGATACTAAATGAATTTTGTTAGTCTTGCTTGACTTGTTAGTCTTGATTAACAAGAACTTCCTAGTTATCCACAGTATAAAAGTCACTTAGCATATCATGTGTGGTAAGCCGTCCTTGGATTACTAAAAACCACATTTCTGGAAGCTTCACCACAGAGAACTGACAACTTTAAATCCACCTACAGGTTAAATATCTACCTGATTTTGTACAGTGAAACAATGTCTAGATAACAGATATTTTAATAAACTAATTTGAAATCTGTTGCAGTTGCTACTGAAGTAGAACAGTGTCTCAGCTGTCTTATCTCTAACCATAGACAAAATGTAGTAGACAAAATGTAGTAAACAAAAGTAGTTTTCTGCACAGAAAGATATTAAGAGAAAGAATACACACAAATCATGTAACTGAAAGTTATCACTAGTCTAACATGAAATTACATTGCAGTGTAGACCCGTACTTGGTCAGAAACAAAACTATAATTTAAGTTATAACTACTCAATGATGCAAAGGCAACTTCACAATCACTTGAAGCCTGAAAGCTGCAGAATTAGATATCAAGCAATTTGCAATAAAAGGCTGCAGCAATTAACCATGGCTGCAGTTTTCACAGAAATTCTCTTCCAGCAAATATAAAAGACAACATTAAAATATTTTTACAAAGGTGCAATCTTCTACACAGTTATTTGCAAGGGAAAAAACCACCAAACATTTATACTTCACATAAGTTAACCTAAACTAGTGCATTAAATTCTTACAACTTTCTATCAGTCACTGATTAAAAAACAAAACAAAACAGAAATCTGAGTAATTAAGTCAGTTTAACATACCAGTATAAAAAGAATGTCACACCAACAAGAGCAAGGTGTCAGCACAGCAAAATACAGAGACCTGATTACATTTTGAGAATGCCATCTAGTGGTTATTAAGTTTTGTGTAAAACCAGGTTTCGCTTTAATAAACATTATTGATGGAAGTGTGAACCTTAATGTACAGTGAGATCATAAAGTAACTCTCCACAGAATCAGGCCATGCTGGCTTTCACACAAAAAAGTTTAAACGAAGTCAGAGATAATTTCCTATCAATTTGGGAAGAGGGAGGATATCAGTCTTTGTAACCTGAAGTTTCCTGTGTGTCAAATATAGTGTTTTAATTATCTGGAGGATTAGAGGTTTAAAACTGACCTCAGTCTTAATAGCAATTATATTTATTTCTAAAGACATAATAAGTTCCATTATCACACAGAAAAAGATGAGGGTCCACACACTGATGCTAGCACAGTTCAGATCTTCAACAAGGACACAGGACAGAAGTAACTATAAATTAAGTTTCTACATATACATAAAAAAGTTACTCCCCTATGTAAATGAACATTTTTCTTCAAACAGAATATTAAATAATAACACTGCTCCTTCTGATGTACACAAGCTCAAACCCCTGCTACTATCACAGGGTATAATCCTGAAACAGGAAATCTCTCCACTCTATGGATTTATCTGTCCTCCTAACTTCCACTGAAGTCAGCTGCATCTAAAGGCATACTATGAACAAACAGTCTTAACTATTCACTGGAATATCAGCAGCTTTTTGTAATTGTTAAGTAAGTTACTCAGGAAAGTGCCTCAATAACATTTTTTCCAATTATTTATTTCTTTAATCTGTTTGTGAAGCTTACGCAAGATTATGGTTATATAAATGTTTATTATGATGACTCTGGTAGTGGTGTGGAGTTGCACAATATGCCTGTGGCAATTTAACTTTTAATCTCTTGGATGCCTTTTCCCATCCCCATATTGCAGTACTCTGCAGCTTGTTTACCTATTCAAAAAGGTAAACAGGAAGACCTTGCCCTTTTTCAGGGAAATACTAAATAAACAATTCCTCAAAACTTGCTACGAAGTAATTTTTTTTAGATAGTTTTACCCTTGTGCTGCTGTGACACTGACTGTTTCATTGCAAGTTTGACGCCAGCATTGTTCACCATTACCACCCAAGAACCGGGTTTTTTCTGAAGCCAGAACATTTGAAAGCTGAAGTCTCGCCACTCCTAGAAGTAAGTCTTTAGCTGTTTTATCCTTGTGCCACAATTCAACCAGCAAAGGTAATCTGAAACAAAGAATGATTTTAGTGTCAGGCATCAACACAAAAGAGGAAGCATTCCAAGACGACATTGACACTGCCTCCCACAGCATTCTCCTG